GATTTATCCTTGTCAGATAAAATGCATACCTTTATACAATTGTGCTGATTAATTTAAAGAAGAAGTTCATCACAGAATAAATTTAACAATAATAAAAAAAGGAATGTTAACAATCGACATTGTCTAACCCTACTATTAGAAACGATGAAACTAAAACCTTCTTAATAACGTAGACTTTGTTTTGGAAATAGTTTCCTGCTTGATAGTTCAGGCTTTTTAAGTTTAAATCATCAATAATAACTAAAATCATGCTTCAAACATTAATAAATTGCATGAATCAGGTATAGGAGAACATGACTAAGACAACAAAAGTTTTGTACCAGTCGTACAGATTGAGCAGTGTCAGATTTGACCTCTACGTTTTGCTGTTTTCAAGTCTAAACATTATCTATATGTTCATATATTTGCAAGATATATGAACATGTAGAAAAAGTTCAGTCTTGAATGATATTTAATGTAATTTTCTATAAATAATATTCATAGGAAATTATTAAGACATCCAAGGTTTTTACAGCTACTCTCGCCAAGTAGCAGATTTAATCTTTAAGTTTTGCTGTTTCAAGTCTGAATATTTTTTCTATGTTCACATATTTTGCATTTTCTGAAAATATCAGCAACTTAACCTGGAAGGTCAAAATTGACTCTTCACTAGGTTGAAGTATGAGATATGAGGTAGTATGCGTGGGTTTTTTGTTGTTTCATCAAAAATGCAAAAAAATATGCTTTTATACCCACTAATTGTTCAACCATTACCTTTCATAAGACTTAAAATCATTTAACGAATTTTCTAGTTTTCTCCAACTTTTTTGAAGCACAGCACAGTGACTGCCACCTTTATCCCAGCTGCTGCTGCACAGGCAGTGTAGAATAAGATCAATTTTGAGGTTTGAATTTATTTTTTTTGTTTGCATTTAATATCCTAGAATAAAAAGGTTTTTGTGGATCAAAATATCAATAAAGTATCATACAAATAAGCAAAAAGTTGCATTAATACATCAGCAATGAGCGTATTTGTTGATTCAAATTAAAAACATACATATATTTTCATAAATTTATCATACTGTGAAAATCTTAAGCCAATTAGCTTTGGAAAATGTATAATTCATTCTCAACTACAGCTGCTATGTTCAGTTTTTATTTTTGAGATTTGAGATAATTATTTCTTTTTAACCACGATCACACATCTGCACTTATCAACAGGCTGCTTTTGACTAAACAAATCAGAATTTATGCCAAGTAATTTGCTGCTCTTTAAAGACAGCAAATTATTTGGTTCAGAAACTCTGGATGAAATGATTTGATGTCATGAAGCTTTTTATCATCAAAAAGATAAACTATAGCAAAATCTAAAACCATTGGAAAATATTCTTCATTTGCATTGCTTAAAAATATCCTAATAAAGTGATTCATTATAAGCTCATTTAAAAGCAGCACTAATTACTGTCTTTCACACCCACTCTCCACTAAAGACCACCATCAATAATGCAGCAGTGCCCCCTTTGTCTCAAGTCCACGGCTGCTGTAGTCCCTCTGTTTTTCCTCACTTAACCATCCATTTTACCTGCCAGTGACCTCAATGCTCTGAGGTTTTGGCTTCAGAAACGAGTGTATTTTTCCCATGTGTACAGTTAATCGCCGAGCTGCTGGTAACACATCACCACGTCCAACCAACCCACCGACAGCCCTCTTCCTCCTCCTCCTTCTGCTCGTTCTCCTCTTTGGTGCATCACCCCACTCGCCTGCTTTCAATCTCTCCTTCCCTCTCCTTCACTCTCTGGTTTAATATTGATCTGAATTCATTTGTTTTCTATTGATCCGCCACTCCACCCTCTGCCGCATTGAGCAGACGCGAGGACACATACCACGCACACAAAGGCTTTCTGATGCAGCTCTCTGGCAAGCCTTGCACGTGAACATGCACAAACACCTAAAGGACAAACGCATTTACTAACCCACCATACATGTAGGTCATGAACACACAGCCACGTCAGAGAGGCACACTTGCAATCACATACTCTTCATGGGAGATTTAAGAGGCTGAAAACACAATGGCTTTTAAGAGGTTTCAAGTAAGCTAATGACGTACAAAGGAACCTGAATTCTGTATTGATCCAACACTTTAGCAGTGAGATGAAAACACAGGCCGTCTAGAGCTGCCATGGGCGTGCGACACAATTAAGACTGCAGTTCATTTCTCAGGTTAGCTCAAATGTGCTTAGAGTCATTAGAGCAAAAAAAAAAAAAATGAAAGGAGTTCATTTTGGTGGTAATTGTGCAGAGCTATTTGAATCAAGATGACATTTGTGCCAGTAATTGTGTGGAGTTTTTTTTTTTCTTTAAATCAGTCTTGACTGAAAAGAGCCTCGATATCGAATGAAGTCAGTCAAGGTTAAAGTAAAACTCAACAGCGTTTTATAAATACTACTAGAAATTTGGAAAAATGCAACGACTAGAAAATAACAGAAATATTGTTGAAACATTTGGTTTTGGTTGTGTCATGTTAATTTCTCCCTGAATGAGAGAGGATATACAGCTCTGGAAAAAATGAAGAGCCCACTGCACTGAACCCCAAAGAAAACCTGGTTATTCCACGAAATATTGATTTCTAAAGTCTTCCTCAGTTAAAACATTAGTATTGTTGTTTATAAATGAATATGAATTTGTCTTCTTTGCATTATTTGATGTCTGAAAGTTGTTTTTTCCATCTTTCATTTTCTGCAAATAAATACTACATGTTTGCTTGGAATTTTATTGACATGTTGTCAGTAGTTCATAGAATAAAAGAACAATGTTAATTTTACTCAAACATTTACCTATAAAAAGTAAAATCAGAGAAACTGATCATTTTGCAGTGGTCTCTTAACTTTTTCCAGAGCATTTAAGTTGTTCATTTAAGTTGTTCATTTAAGTTGTTCCTCACATAAAAAAAAATATTGGCCCTCATTAAGTTGGTATTAGTTTCAGTTTAAAAGAATCCCTTTATATGATAATAATATTTTTAAATATATTTGTATGCATTAAGTTAGCCCATTGAAAAAGCTAAAAAACTTTTGAATTGTTAAGTTGCATTAATGGTGTCCTTATGAATAACTAAAGTATTTAATATCAACCAAAATCCAAATAATGCTCTCTCTGTAAACAATGGTTGACCGAAGGCTAATGGAGATTAATCTTGTCAATTTAATCAGTCGATTGTCTTCTAAAACAGAATGTCAAAAAGCTGGTAATTTTACACAGAAATTTCTCATTTTACCCACATTTTCCATAATTCATCTTAAATCACATTGACTTTATTTCTTTTTTTTATTATTATTGCATTGGTGGCATTTTTTACACTGGCTGATAAATTCAGATGTTACTGGCTGTGACACCAATGCAAGGCAGCAAACAGTCCTGTCTGATGACATACAGTGCTGGACATTCAGTCTTCCTGAAGGTCAGCTTAAAATAAATCTGCTTCTTAATCTTGTTCATTGTAGCTTCTTTTAGGAGTTAAAATTGGAACATTCTTAGTTATCAGCTTCCTGCTCTTTCTGTGAAAAAAGCATATTTAAAACAGGATTTTCAACAGTAGACTTTCGTCGTTTGCTGCATTAGGAGTGTGTTGAATTTAGGTAATTCAATTCAAAAATACTTTATTAATCCAAAGGGAAATGAAATGTTGTAACTCATGTTATTCAAGTTCCTTCAAAGAGTTGTTGTAGCTGCTGATAGGGAGAATTTCCTGTAGTAGTCAGTATTACTGTAGTTCTAAAGAAGCCTCTGACTAAAGACTGTTGCTGGAGCGATGTAGTGGAGCCTAAAAAAAACCCACCAAATTAGTTACATTTACCAGATGTAAGTTAAGTAAATAAAATTTTTAATTATTAATTTTAGTTGGAAAGCAATTCAAGCAAAAATGTCCACCTTAATACAGTAATTTATCATACATCACTGGAGTCAAAAAAGTCATAAAAAATCTTAAATTTTTCTTAATAAAACCAGCAGAAAATCTCTTTTCTATGTTAATCTTTTTTTATGGTAACTAGTTTGTTTTTACTCTCCCTTCTTATTTAGGACTATAGAGTCATATAAGTTGATTTGTTTGTTTTCATCCCAACCTAAGTGTTAAATGTGTCAAAGGTCTACATTTGACAATCCACTGGTTTGCCTTGTAGACTCTAAAATAAAGGTTGAAAAAAAAAATAAATGTAACAATTAATTTATCTACTTATTAGTACGAGTTGTTGAAGTTCTACTTTTTGGTATTTTTGATGAAAACCGTCCCATTTTGTCTTCACCCTGACCGAACTTTTCAGCAAGTTTTAACCTGTCACTTCAAATTTTTGGTTGATGGCATCAAGTTGCCATGACACCAGACTATTTGGGCTGCCCTCTGACCTCCTTTCAGGACACGCTGTGCTCAGTCAGAATGCATCTCGAGCAGCAGCTTGAGTTCAAAGGGCCGGAGAGGAAAGGAGCGAGGGCGGGGTGAGGCTGTGTGTCCTCCATGTTACATTAGATAAGGTGCCTGAGGCCCGTACATGCTGACAGGAACACACAAACCCTAACATACATACAAATCTCAACATACAGGAGAGCATGCCAACAAAAAACACACATTTCTTTCATTGTTTCATTTTGTTACAATGTCATGATTTGTTTGACTAACTCCTGTTAGATTTTATATTTCTTCATTATTAATGCATTATTCATCACTAGTGTCTATAACTGTTTTTGTTTGTCTGTGTTTGCATTACTCTCTTCATTAATTTTACAATATTCCGTTTATTAATTAGTTTCCTAATGAGCACAACATGTTCCCAGCTTCCTTCATCAAAAATCCAGTTTATTTCTGATAATTCTGCTTTGCAGTTTAATTATCTACTTATTTTCTCAAGATTGTCACTAATAAAATATGTTCCTTAGAAATAAATGTGTGTAAGTGTATTGATCAATCTCAAATTTATTTTATATAATTTATTGTACAGCTAATCTGAATAATGCTTATATGCTTACAGAAATGCCATGTCCAACAATAGATGCCTTCCCAGTGAGAAGAGGGGTGAAAGTTGCTTCCTGCTTTAAAGGTAAAGCTTTCTACATCATATTTTTCATGTTTAAAATAAAAAGGAAGAAAATTAGCTTAACATGTCAGAAAGTTGGACTGAGAATATCAGTAATCTAACATTTATATCACTGTTTGTTTTCTATCTGCATCGGTCACTCTCGTGTTTCCTGATTTTTATAAAAGCTCTTAAAGATGCTGTAATATTGTTTAAATTAGTCTTTTTCTTGCATAGTTACAAAGAGACTGCTTTCTGTTTTCTTATATTTAAAACAATTAGCATTTGACATTATTAAATTATTGCATAAGTTAAAAACACGTTGTACCTTTATAAGGTTGTTGTCTCATTTGTTTCTTATCAAGTCCTTTTTTAGTCCCTTTTTATATTGACTCTCTTCTGACCTTCAAAGCACAACTCACTACTCATCTGTTCAAGTTAGTTTTCTCACAATAACTTGTTTTTTTTAGTTATTTCATGGTTTTGTTTCTTTATAGAAAATTTTTACTGTTTAATTTGTGTTTTTAATGTTCTAAAGTATGTTTGGGTGTTTTGAAAGGCACTGACAAATAAAATGCATTATTCATATTATTAATGCAGAACAAACTTTAATGTTTTAAAAAATAATTGGTATACATCTTTAGTAAACTGTATTATCCATTTTCCTTTCTGCGTTAGTTAGACACTAACGCAGTATTTTGGGTTTGAAATCTTAACAGTTATCCTGTTCGGTTAATGATGTTTTCACAGTTTAAAACAATCCAGTTTGCTTCAGTCTAAAGTGCTGAGGCTATTTGGAGGAGGTGGTGTCAGTGTGGTTTCAAATTAACACTCTTTTATGGTCTGGATGTGGTCCGACTCTGAGCCGACACAGCTGTAAGATTGAGCCAACTGCCTTCCTGTAGCCAGGTATCAGTTGCATTGTGGGAGGCGGTAGAGTCAGGAAACTAAGAAACAATGGCCGCATGTGTTTTTTGAAAAGATAAAGCCCAATGCAATTTTCAACGTCTCAAAACAACAAAAATAATCTTAGATAATCTAGCCGGAAATGAACGAAGAAACAGTAATGATATGAATAAATTCTCCATATTTTGTACTAGCTCAGAACGTAGCATTTGCTTTCTGTTTTTCCATTTCTGACCAGCAAACGTACTGAATGTTCTTGCGTGGTTTGTAGTGACAAGTAAACAAACTAGAGGTCTTGAAAACAACACTGGTTTACCCAAATAGTAAAATCTCCAATGAAAAGAGTCGAATCTTCGTCACTGAGAAAATCTGTCCACAGAGACTCAGACACAGACAAATACAGATAATTTAGAAAGTGCCTGCAGAAGTAAATTGTAACACAGGTATGCACAATTTGGGTGTGAATGGTTCATGGATGCCTAAGCATTAAGACAAACTCCTACAAATGACATCACTCTGCTTTGTGAGAAGGAATCTATAAAATGTTGTCTTCTTACTGAGAATTTGTCTCTGTTATACTAGAAGCACTTCTGTGTATATGAATGGATGGTAGGGATGAAGAGAGAAATATAAGTGATTTTAAGGTGAGCTGCTGTGTTAAAAATATGAGTCTGTGGATAGACAGAATAAAGGATGAAGTTGATATTTTTAGAAAAGCACATCTAAAGCAGGAATCTTCCATCACCAAAGCTCCCTGCAGTTTTGAACATTATACCCGCTCTAAATTTTTGCGAGAGTGCGCTGGAGATCACGGAAGAAGATTTAGATGCTCCTCTGTCATCCCAATCAAAAAAAAGAAAAAGAAAAAAACTGGATCGGCCATGTGACGGACCGGTTCTGACCTGAGAGCCCCACTGGTGCTAATGCATCTCTTCAGTAAGAACGGTGTGTGGTGCGAGGCCAGGATAAGTTTTCACAAACCAGAAATTGTTTGCTCTCTTAATTTGATTCTTTAGTGCGATTTATCACAAACCCTCCTTTTTTTTTTCTTTTGCTCCTACTACCTTATTTACAAAGCCAGAAATCGTTACCATGGAAACACGGCAACCTCAGTGGCCTGGCATGATGCCCAATGGTTGCTAGGGCAGTGTTGTCAATGGCTATTGGGTTGTGTGTGTGTGTGTGTGTGTGTGTGTGTGTGTGTGTGTGTGTGTGTGTATGTGTGTGTGTGTGTGTGTGTGTGTGTGTGTGTGTGTGGGTGTGTGTGTGTGTGTGTGTGTGTGTCTGTGTGTGTGTGTGTGTGCGCGCGCGTGCGTGCGTGTGTGTGTGTGTGTGTGTGTGGGGGGTGTGTGCGTGTGTGTGCGCGTGTGTGTGTGTGGGGTGTGTGTGTGGGTGTGTGTGTGCGTGTGTTTGTGCGCACGCGTGTGTGCGCGCGCATGTGGGTGTGTGTGTGTGTGTGTTTTGTATGTAAATAGAAATGAATATTATGTTTTTAAATTATTAAGAATGTAAAAATCAAGACTAAATTTGTCATATTTTTATGCGTCTGCAATTTTGAGATAAATGAGATAATGTGGAATGGCTGTGGAAAGCCATCCCACATCTTTCTGACCCATTTTCCACTTTAAATCACAGTTTCAAACTAAACCTGTGGATGACTAGCTAAAAAGTATCAAATGTGGTTCACATGCCCAATAAATATCTCATTTATTTTGAGATAAATGAGATATTTAAAAAACATTTTAAATAGTTTTTATTGCTGTTTCGGTTTGTAGGTGTCATTCAAGCCTTTTTAAAATTATTTTGTCTAATGAGGGTTCTTGTTATTAGAATTAGGAATGTCTCTTTTATGAAATAGTAAATTAGTATGCTTCCATCGGTTATTTATTGGTTGATTTATACCGATATCCGGTTTTCTTTGGTATCTGAAATTGCAAATCTGAGTTTTCTAAACAGAACGTAAAATATAAAAATTTTGCTCCATGTTCCTTGATAATAGTTTCAAATCCAACAAAAATTATTCATCAGATAATATATGTCTAACTTTAATCATATTCTTACAACAACAAAAAAAAGCTTGTTGATTTGTAAACAGAAATTCTTAGTTTTGATGTGGTTCACATTTTCTGATCCACCAATTAGTTGATCAAGGGATAATTTGACCCTTCTATTCTCAAACTGGTAGATTAGTTCATCTAAGATTTAGAAAACATTATTATTAGGCCTGAAAGTCACTTTTGTTTTCTGTAAAATGGAACAGAAACTTATTCAATATTCTTTGTTTGATGTTTTTGCATGAAGAAAAGAAAATGGAGCTCCAACTTTAAAAAAAAAAGTTAATTGTAATCAAATTAAGTTTATTTATGTTTGTTTAACATAACAAGTTAATCAACTTAATATATTTACTTGGATAAACTTAATTTTATTGTGTGTAACAAATTAACTATTTTTTTAATTGGATCTATTTTGTTTTAGCTCAGCAGGTCTGTTATTTTGTCAAAAATAATTTAATACTTAAATTCTGTGAATACAAGAAATTACAATAACAGACTGACATGTAATTTTAATTTATTTTCAAAGATTTTAACTTAAATTTTCTGTTACAAAAAACCTCTTACAGTATCATTTTATTACACTTATATACTCCAACCAATATACTGAGGATTAATACTTTAATTCAATAGAATTGTCTTTTTTTTTGGTTTCTAAAGCATAATACCAAAGCTCCTTATTTGATCTGGGAGCCGCTGGGTTTTGGGGCCCAGGGCCACCCAGGCTTCTGGTACCGGAGGCTCCTGTTTAGACACGCCCGGGCACATTGGCACAGAGCTGGCATTGGCACAACCATGGCGCATGCATGCGTGACCGGACTGCGAATGAGTCGGTGTGAGAGGTTTAAATGGGTAGAAGAGGAATCAAGGGGATAAAGGGAGGAGATTCAAGTAGTGCTTGTCAGAAAAAAAAGAAAAACGTTTCAAAAGATTTGGGAACTTTAAGTGTGCGGTGACGAAGGACGAATCAGAGACGCGTAGAGGGCAGAGAGGAGAGTCAAAGAGAGGCAGTGAAGGGTGGGTGGAGGACGGCTTTTGCAATAGCAGGAGGGAGTGGAGAGGTGGGGTTTTTGTTCGAAAGGTAGCCAAAGAAATGTTTGTTAAATTTGTGAAACTCTCAAACCAATTCAAATGGTGTTGCCTTACGTTGTCTTATTTATCTAATTTATCACAAAATATTTTTAAATGAACCAATCAGAGTCAGTTATGGCTACTGCATCCGGCTGTGTTGTCTAATTCAAAGTGACGAGCATATATAACCGTGTCAGCTAATAGAGTGAGTTACCTTATGTGGAATCAGCAATAAGCTGTTCCCACTTCTACATCTGCAGTTGTATTTTGGTGCATTGGCCACGCTGAATAGAAGGCCTTGCAACTTGTGCAGCAGCCATCAAATAATCCATGAGTCCTTGAGGCACACAGCAGCAGTGTCAAAACACATCCATTGACGGCTAATAACAGCCAATTTGCTGCTTTCGCTGGAGATCACCTCAGCGAGATGTCGAATGTGTGGGTGAACCCCATTATTTATGGAACATAATAAGAGAGATTGACTATATGGTGCCGTTACTCCAAGCTGTCATCCAATTACTTGGTCATTAAATTCTATTTGATACGTTGAAAACTAATGTAGAACAAGGCAATTTTAGCAGCACTCTGAAAATAGCTTGTTTAACAGCACAAACCAGCAGCCTCCTTTCACGGCAAGGCGCTGTCATCATGACACCATGCAGGGAATCTGATGAAAGTATAGATGCATAGATACACACACTCAGTTTGCCAAATTGATCTAATTTAACAGGCTGGAAATGTAAAACCCCAAGTGTAGAATATACTCAGTCATCGTCTGATGTACTCACATTGTCTGTGGCGTTTAGCTGATAGCTGTAATTTCTACAGGTAGCATTTTGCATGAGATGACCTTTGATAATATTCAGAATTTTGCTGCTGAATTGTTTCAGGGCTGCTGCATAAAACATGTTTCTTTTCATTTAATAGTCACATTTTTCTGCAATAATAGCAACTTCAAAATGGATGAGTAATCTCTCTCATACAGTGCTTGCAAAA